GAGAGAGAGAGAGAAGGAAACAGAGCGTGAATTATTGTACGTTAAAGAGTGTGGAATTAACGCGCGCGAGAACGGGAGAAATTGCGCATCGGAAAGAATGGGAATGGATCTGCCGCGCCAGAATTTAACGCTCGCGCTTCGCTCGCCTCGAATTGTCCATCGCGCTTGTCGCTCGCAGACGCCGCCGCGTCGCATAAAATCGGCGACGTTAAATAAATGAATTCTGGGGCTAAATGGTGCGCCTTCCACCAAAGTGGCGCGCGTAATTTGTTTCGCACATCTGCTACGAAACCGAAACGTAGACTTCGCCACTTGAGGGAGGGGGGGGGAGAGGATTAATTGTTTATCGCCTGGCGAAAGGTACGGAGCATTTGTCTCTGTTCCATAATTTTAATTAAGCAAAATTTATTCAAGCAAAATTCTTTCGTCTCAACGTTATATTTTTCGAGATGAAAAAAATGCCCTTTCACACCTGCCCTGCTAATTTCTACGATATTTATCATTTATAATTCATCGATTTTTATCATTTGAATTAACAAATTATTAATAAGATTTTATCATTTAAAATTTATTGTTAAAATTTATCATTTTGAATCCCACCGATATTTCATATAATTTTTTAATCAAGACATCAATATTGACGAATTATTTAATTTTCTTCATTTTTTTCCTCCTACGCTATCCTTGAGCTTAAAGTTAAATAAATACGAGTGGGAAGAATGAACGCGACGCTATTTGGGCAGCCAACGACGGGCGGTCAATCTTAAAAAAAAGAAAATAATTCTCACGACTGTGCGAGCTGTTTCGTACGTACTATTTGCATTGTAAGAACAAATCGTGTTTAAAAGTGGCGACGTTTGCATATCGATAGTCATCTCAAATAGCGAGACACGTCATGGGGGATAAAAATAAAGATCTGTAGAATTTCCCGCCATCGATCCATCGAGATGCAAAGCGAATACTAATACAATACCATAATGTTCGCTTGTGTCGGAAAAACGTCGTTAAATATGCGCATGTAATATTTCTGTTGTCAGGAGGATCGCCGTCGTACCGGAAGATACGTCGCGGGTGGAACGGTTCTCGCAGTCACGTTGCTCGGGCTGCACCATCTACTTCTACGGGGTGCGTCCACCATAGCGGGGGTGTGCGTGCCCGCCGTCATAATGGCTTTGTACATAATCTGGGTGCTGTACTCTGCTCGCAGGGACAGGCGGAAGGTAGCGTAGGACTCGCTTTGTTGTCGTTCGCCACGCTCTTGCCACGCTTCGCCGCGATACGCGGCGAGCGAATTCGCGATATATTGCGAAGTCAACACATCATGGACACCATAAACCGTGAGATGCGTTTTCGAGATAAATATCGACGGGATATAATATCGCGTACGGACAATCGCGCTTCGCACTCGAAATCGCGATCGATATTGAATCTAAAACTCAGCGGTCGCGCTTTATTGCTACACGCGCGACTGACATTTCCCGAATTTTCGTTCATTTTCATTATCACCTTTCACCTTTACGCGCCTCCCCACGTCCATCTCGCCGTTAATGGAGCCTAGAGGAAATTAGGAAACGCGCTGGTTCGCCTGGTGGCAGAAGGTGACTTTCACGCAAAACGCGAATGAAAAGAGTACTCTGTCGGCTCACGGATCTACTTTGCAAAATAATGAGTTTCTCGATTGATTGTCGCCGATTTCGTGGGGCGATGATTATGCCTAGAGTGAATTTTAAAGCGGATAGGGCGGTAAGAGCGAGGGAAGTTTGCGGAATTCGCTGTTGTTGCGATACTAACGGCTCGATAACATGGCCCGCAATAAAACATTCGCAACAAAATTATAAAATTACGACAAAAAGAAATGTTGCGTATCGCTCGTTTTGAAGTGCGGGGGTGCGCGTCACTTTTTACCACCCTTTTATTGATATATTGCAGCGCTCTCCGCATGCCCGTCGCGCCACTTTTTGCGCCGCGTTCCTCGTTAAAACTATATTTTACTATCTCTCTTCCGCGTTCTTTCACAAAATGTAATTAATTTAACGGATATAAAATGGCGCGCTATTTGCCATTTTCCATTTGCGAGGTAAGTCCGCTCCATATATTACATAATGGCAGATATTTTCATACAACACAAAGAGTATTTTTAGAGATATTTATTAACAACATTACATGCGGTGCATAAATTTGATATTAAATTACAGAGATTCCACAACATTAAAAATGATATTTAAATTTTAATTAACATAAATATAATTCACGCAAAGATAATTGTCACGACTTTAATACTCCATATTTGCCTTAATAAGAGCATCGTTATGAGTCATTTGTATAAATATTTATACAATTGTATGATTGTATAAATTTAAATTTAAAGAAAAGGATGCTATGATTTCGACCTTTCACGGAATTTTAGAAAACTTTGGGAATCGAGAGCAATTTTAGAGTCGATAAACCGCGCGAAACGTTTCCTCGCAAGATTCCATAAACAATCATACGATCTGAGCAAACGGAACCAAAATACCTGCAGCCGTATTCCGTTTCCTCCGCGATGGCAACCGGATATAAATTCCAATCGACCGGAACAGTCCCCAGACGTTACTTCGCTGTCGGACATCGGGATTACTTGATACTCATATTGACACGCAATGCGAGAAGGTTAATCTGTTGGGGAAGCAAAAGCGAGGTGACGTGAATAGGATCATCGATCCTATTATGGCGTCAATCAAAAACGAAATCGCGGGTAATACGCGAATCCAGACAGAAATAGAATCGTTCGTTCATTCGATCGTGATCTATTTGCGATCTATCCGTTAAGCAACTTTTCCTGCGCTCTTTCAATCTTGTCTCGCCTCGTGCCGGCCAGCACGGTATTCGGCGTGTGTCGCGTCGCATCGACACATCGACGATGATGGCGCATAATGACGTGGCCAATTAAATTGGCGCGAGACCAGCTCGGCATATCGGGCCTGTCTCGAGATCGAATTACAGCGCGTTGTATTCGATCGCTTCCCGTCGATGCAATTCGCGACGCGATTGCCACAATCGGGCGCGCAATGCAACTGAGACAGACCGGGGAGTGCATTTGTCAATATCCCTCGGCAGGATTTGATAATCCCCGTTCTCTCTCTCATGCGGAGAAAGAGAAATGCGAAACCGATTTTCCGTTTCGAGAGCGCGAAATTTATTTCGGAAAATTAATGGAAATCGCGAGGATAAAAAGAACTGTCCGCGGAATATTCCGAATGAACGCAGGTTTTCCGTTTTCGCCACCGTGAGGGAAACTTTGATTTTAATTGCGTATCTTTTGGTCATTCAACGCACTGTTATTCCTTTCGAGAGTAGACTATCTCGCTGGATAATACGTATACCTTATTCGGCTCTTTGGACAGTATTGTATGGCCGACGATAACCGCATATAAATGCACAATCGACGCGCGCTCGGGCTTGCCCGATGCATTATGCAGGCTTTGCCAATCATGCGTGGTAAATGTTGCATTGTCTCTATTTTGATATACGCGTACATAATTACGCCGCATGATGCTCGTGACAAGCAGTATACGGTAAACACGCGTTTGTACCAGATCCCCCCCCCCTCTCCCCCTCCCCCGTTATTCCCCCGCATAACCGTTCACTCGACGAATTTTCCGTGTCAGCCACAGGCACAATAACTTTCCACGCGGTTCGAGTTGAGTTGTAAATCGTAATTTGCGATTAATTAAAGAATCACCCGGGTTGAATATGCGTGAAAAACAAATCGCGACAGGATGACGTCAACAAAAATAACGAACGTGCAAATTGAACGTCGATGATAAGTTACGGTTTTTGTTTAAAAAGTTTCCCACGCGCGGGATACGTACGCGGAGAAATTTGTTGCTCGTTTATTGTTCATTTTAACATCGATATTGTTTTCGCGTAAAATGTCGATTATCGAGTGCGGTAAAACAATTTGCGCGTCGAATGTTGCAGGCGGATGCTTACGCGGTAACTGCGATTGTTAAATAGACCCAGAACTAGGACAGAATCAAAGGAGCGAACGCAATTACATCGCGCGTTCCGCGTGTTTACATGATCTTGTTTGTCATTAATTTGTTGATTGCTCTGTGGCACTAACACAACCTCGAACTGCTTTTGTCTGTCCTCGTAATACATAATTGGAAACATTTTTTGAGAGAGAAAAACACTTAACATCATTTTGCATAATTGAATTTTAAGATTATTGGATAAAAAGTTAAATTAAATAAATATACGTAAATTAAATAAATATAAATAAATATATGTAATATCTAATAAAAGACTTTATTGAATCAATATTAAAACAAATGCATGAATGAATTTATTTATCAGCTAAATAAATATATGAGATATTATCAGAATTTAACACGTCCATTCATGTAATAAATTTTGGGATTAATTGATAAACTAAAATTAAACAAAATATAAAATAATATTTTATTCGAAATATCTTTCTTTTCGAATCTTTCCTTTTCATTTTTCATCAGGAATCTTTTTTCATTTGCATAAAGATCATACGATTTTATCTCAAATTAGAATACATAAAGATATTGTTTTTAGACAGTACGAATATCTAAGGATCGATTTTTATGAGAGAAAATTGGCCGTGGCCTACACGTCGATATATATATAAAATATCCGTCGAATATCGAAAATCAAGTGAAATAATTTTGCTACGGGATTGGAAGAAGCGTCGGATGATACATCGCCGGAATCATAGCTTTGAACGATATTTTTAATTTTTACGGCAATAACATATATATGCGGGATCGGAGTGTGTGTGTGACAGCGTGGGCAATTAAATTGGCTCGGAACCAAAGCTGCGTCGCACGGATTGATCCAATTATGCCGGACGTCCGTCTCGACGCCGACGCTCGCTTGATGTTCGCACGGATTGTGCACTTCACGTACATGTCAGCGTGAACGTTTTGCGGTTTTTTGCATACACAATTATTGTGTGTAAATATATATATGTATATATACAACATATATACATGTGTATATACACACATGTATATATATATACACATGTATATATGTTGTATGTGTGTGTGTGTGTGTGTGTGTGTGTGTGTGTGTGTGTGTGTGTGTGTGTGTGTGTGTGTGTGTGTGTGTGTGTGTGTGTGTGTGTGTGTGTGTGTGTGTGTGTGTGTGTGTGTAGGATATTTCATCAAATATATTTCAAACTTGAGCACCTTCAATAGCTAAATTATACGCAAAAATTGATACATATAAAAATTACATGATTATTTTAAAAGGATTATTACAATCTTCTCCATAAATATTATATAAAGTTGTGCTTTAATATTGTTAATTCAAAAATTATTTTATATTTTATTTTGATTTTATTTTCACATCAAATACGAAATATCTCGAAATATCTACGAAATATAAAGTATTCACTTTTTGATTACGTTACTTTTTTATAAAAAAAATATGAGGCAAGTCTATCCGATGTAAATAAAATGTAGTTGCTTTAAAAACATATTGCATTTTGTAATGTACAATTGTATACTTTTTACATATAATTGATTGTTAATTTTAGGCGCTAAGATTTGCCGCGGTGATGCAGCTGACTGAGGTGATCAGTGTCCCTTCCAGATGTAGATCCGATGTTATTTGCAAGGATGCTAACAGCGACAATGGCTTTAGGAGAAATTCGTCCAATTCTTACAAATCGCAGAGCATTCGTGAAAATCCAGCTTTCTCCACCAGGGATGAAGTGTGATCAAAATTTGAAAAATTGCGAATATGAACGTGATTTTTATTAGTAAAAGTGTCATACTGTTAAAACCAATGCTGTTTAAATTTTCGAAACTTTTTCTAAAAAATTTTATGTAAGACACATGTATGACATATACGATACACTTTATAATTTGAAAATTACTTATGAAATATTTTTAGAAACTTATTCTAAAAATTTCACATAAGATATGTAAGATATGTGTGATAAATACATGACATACTTTGTAATTTAAAAGTTTCTTATAAAATATTCTAAAGTATGATAACTTGTTTTACTATTTAAAATTTAAATTTAATACAATACGTTAAAATTGTGAGATTCTGCATTAGCTCATAAATTTAATATCCCAATAAAGAAATGCTTTTAAAACTGAATTTGAAAACAATTTCAAAAACATGTTTCATTAATAAATAAATATAAAGTTGCTAAAAATCTTGTTTAAATTTAATAGTTTTATAAATTACATGTATTTCTTTATTAAAATAATATTCATAGATTGTGTAAGACTGCAATTATAATTATTACTTAATAAGTTTGCTATATTTAAAAATATTCTTAATAAGAATAAAAATATTCTTAATAAGAATAAAAGTATTTTTAATAAGAATATTTTTAAATATAGCAATATATTCTTTTTTAAGTTTATGATAAAAGTAGATTAAAAGCTATATCGGAAAGTTTAATTGTTCGAAATTTTATAATTAATTACAAAATACAAATTTACATTAGTTTTTAATATGTAACGTATATTTTATATATCGTTTAATATAATTTCAAAAATTTTCTGAGTATTTTATAAATTAGATTTTAAATTACACATTTGACATTTTAGATTACATATTTGATATTATTATTATTTTTTTAGATTTAAGAATTAAATTAATTTCTAGTTCTCTTCTCTTAGCTAGAATTTTACGATCATAATCATTATATTACTATGGTCTTACTTATAATGTAAACATTTATACATATAAAGATTAACAATTAAACTGTTAAACAGTCTGCCTAATGAGTCATATTAATTCAAATGTCCATGATATTTAATATTAAAATTACGTTTAACGAGCGATGGTGGCGAGACACTGTATAAATTTATTTCTCAAGACGTTTGTGCAATTAAATGGTTTATTAAACCTCTGCGAAGAAAAAGACATGAAAGTGAATTCGTTATCACGTCCCGTGCTGCAATTCATTTTCATTGCGCAATATAGCGATTAAAGAAAAGCATGTTTTTATTATTTCCTCCTCATCTCTCAATTATTTTACGCAACTCAATTCGCAAGTTAGATACGCCGGTTTATTTTTACAGAAAAAAAAAAAAAAAAAAACCCGATCTCGCTTTCAATGAAGAAAAAAGGTATTTTCTTCATTGAAAGCGAGATCGATTGAAGACGTACGCGCATAACGATGACGTTCGTAAACATTCGGCGGGCTATATTTCGCGAATTGATCGAGCGGAATTCTACGCGAATCGCAGACGAACTGTAGCTCATCCGGATTCCATTTTCGCGTGATAATAAGATTCGTCTCGTTTGCGGTACGCGATTGCATCGTCTATCTCTTTTGAGAGCAAGTCTCCGTTCGTCGTCTATCTCTTTCATTGCGCACACCGGAAAGTGGGATTTTTCCTCCGTTGTTGCTTTCGCGGACTGCGGAACGCAATACTACTCGCATCTTGTTTATCGGATAGCTCTTGTTGTTGAAAACAGAGAGAAATATATCAGGGGTATCGTCGCTAAGAAAACAATCCCACACGTCTTTCCGTAAAAAGAGAAAAATTTGTTGTTCAGATAATCGCGTTTTTAAAACTTGTGAAAATCGAATAATTATATGCGCGAATAAAAACATTCGCGCGTTTAATTAACCAGGCGTTAAATATTTATTCTAGCTCAACTGAGACGTCTAGACTATTGTTACAAGATCCCTGAATCACGTTCCATTTGCTGGCTTGATGACGTAAAACAGCTCATGCATAGTGCCGATGCGATCGATCGATGGAGAAGTCTGACTCGATGTCGTACTTAATTCGTTGTACTCCTTGTTATACTCTCGACGGAGGAAGTTCCGTATTGTTGTGATAATCAAGTTGTTGAATATAACCGGAGGTCTCCCGGAGGAAGTAAGGTCGCCGATTAAACTCCGCTGCGACGGAGAAAGTTCCAGGCGCATTCATGGAAAGGATGTGCCGAGTTATGGAAACTGCGAGGTTTGATAACTGATAAAGAAATTCATATATACTAATCAGGTGCTAATAGAGGCTGTATCAAGTTCTCTCAGATGTTCTCCGGAAGACGAGTCGAGTGGAACGGAAAGAGAAAAGCGCGCATACTATATTTTAATTCCCCGGGAAAGATTAAGACGATTTTATTCGTCGGAACATTTACGCTTACACCGAACAAGAACAAGACGGCGATGGATTTTATGTGACTCGTTCGTCACGCGAGCTGCGTAAATTCACGCTGATATCTAATAAACCGCATTGATTGAATCCCAGTGATTATTCGCACTCAGGGCGGCGCGTTGAAAGCCGGGTCATCCGGTTTAATGATCTCTGTGCAGCCGCAACATCCACAAGTAATCACGTACGCGATCGCTATAAACGCATGATTTACTTCCGTTACATAAGCATGTGATTCTCGGCATTAAGCGAATGATTCAGACAAAACACATCGCACAGTAGAAATAGTTTCGTGTTGACGATTCGATATCCATTTCTCGCGGGCCTTCACCCGTTCCCGCGGAGGAATTTTTTTAATATAAAAGCGTTAGCGTTTAAAATGATTCTTTAAATAAATTTAAAGACACCGCGAAGCAACTTTGGCAAACAATTGTCAAAGTTTTACCTTACTATAGAAGATCTTTTTTTATAGCGTGCTTTCATTGCTATGCCTGATGCGAACTGCCACCTGCGGTTGAAGAAAGCTTTGTACAATGCCGTCTGCGCCTTTACACTCGGATATAATGGCGCCTCGTTGCTATTTTACAAACATAAATACCATATGAGTCGCAGAACATACGTACCTAGATTTAAAAAAAGTCCAACTCGCGCACATTTTATATGCGTAATAATATGTAGCGCAGCAAGGCATACTACGTAATAGAGCGGTGCAATATATTATGTAATTGCACTTCTATGTAATTGCAACATGTGTCGGGTTTCATTCCTTGTATTGAACAATTAATGCGACAGTGAGATTATATCTTCTTGCAAATGTCAGTCTCAGATAACAATGAATATCAAATTGGTCGATTGAACTTTCTAATATAATAATTAACGGCCGTTACATCAGACATCAAGAAGGATGCGATAACGAGTCGTTAATTCTTTGATATTTCTTCGGGATTAAAAGATTCATTTACATTTGTAATTACAGGAAGTCTGATGTATGATATAAAGGAAGGCTATAAAGTTAGTGAAAATTACACGCTTGAAATAATTCTGATAATGTCACGATGTAAATAATGTCGACGTTTAATTATGCAACAGCTGTTCATTCGTAATCTTAATATATAACATTCAAGCATCATTCCTTCAATTATACACACACACACACACACATATAATATATATATATATATATATATATATATATATATATATATATATGTACGCGTCTATGATATACCTCCCGTGTGTAACATCGTAGGTCTTTAGAGAAGTTGAAGTTAGATACTCGCAGCTTCGCTCTAGCTTTAATGTCCGCCGCCTGATTATAATCTCGTCAACAGGTTACGTCATTAGGAGCAGACTGTGCGGTAATACGTTCATTGTCTTTCTCTCTCTGCCTGTCTACGCTCTCCACTCGTTTGTTCAATACGTTTCCGTTCCGTTCTGTAATCTTAAATCATTTCTCCAATCTCGCCACCGCTCTGCACATTCAAACGCAGCACGTTCGTTTTTTTTTATTTATTTATTTATTTATTTTATTTATTTTATTTATTTATTTATTTTACAACATGTTCAGTTAAGAAATACAACCGCGATACAAATATCTCGCGCAATGCAATATCGATTTTTCCCGACTTGATTACGAAAGCCCAATGTAATCTATTTGGATGACCACCTTTTTCCCACTAACTCTTCAGTAATGATAGCCGAGGTCAAAGGATGGGCGGAACTTTGCTGAAAGAGAAAATATGAGCGCAAAAAAGAAGCGTGAAAGCAAAGGATGTAGAAGAACCGCTCGTTTCGTTAATGACGGGTCTTCCTGCCTGTCCCAAGGCGAAGCCTTAGGATTAAGTAATTTTTCTCCACTTTGATAATTAGAATTATATCTCTCACCAACAGAAACTGTCCTCTTAAATAAAAATCTTTAGCATTAAACACATCGATTCATCGCCAATATTATATTCCTTGTCGGTTTTAAACATTTTAAATGTGTGACTTGAACAAAGGAACAAAATGAGTCGCGGCGCGATAAGATCTGAAAATAACTTTACGATTCTTGCTTTTGACGTGTTGCTTTTAACGCATTTCGACGGGTTGTATTTTCGTGAAATTTGCCTCGCGCAAGTTTTTACTGCGTCCCGAGTGACGTTTTTCCGCGCTTCGCGTCATGTTCGTGCGCGCCAGCGAGCGTTGGTAATTTCGATAAAAGGAGAGTGAGAAAATATTGCATTAGCAGCCCGCCATGCGACGGAATAAGTAAAATCGCGCGGCTGTACTTAGAAAACCCGCCTTGCCCGGATCCTTATTTGTCCGGGCGTGTTGCGCATGTTGGTTTTGCGTTACATTAAAAGGATTACAGACGCCCGTGTCATATCTCGTTAAACGCACTGATGCCGCGGCACTCGATTTTGTACACTTTTACCGTCGAAACAAATTACATTTCATACACCATAAACGTCCGTCGCAGGCCCGCGTAAAATTTATGTGTAGAACGTAACATTCGTTACGGATATCACGCCCGTTTTGAAAATAATGCCTAAATGGCACGTCACGCCAATTACCTCATCGCCCATGAAAACCGCCGATATCTATTACGACATGTAAAAACTGGAATCCATTTCATCCATTTCAGAAGCGCGCCCCATAACGGATTGCACCCCGCTAAGTTATTATTGCGATTGCGGAATCGCGAAAGTTACTTACGAGGGAAAACTCGGAGTGAATTTAAAGGTGACTCACGTGGAAAGCATCGGGGACGGAAAATGTATCGGGAGACGCGGGAGAAATGAGAGACGCGAGACAGAGATCTAAAATTACCCGTGTCGCGGGAGTAACGGTATACATTAGTCGGAATAGGGAATTCAGAGTTACCGCCGAGGATACAAAGGCCGCGAGCAAAGAGCAAGGTGAGGAGAGCGAGCGAGCGAGTGAGCGAGCGAGAGAGAGAGAGAGAGAGAGAGAGAGAGAGAGAGAGAGAGCTCGCGGTGAGAGG